ATAAACTTATAGGACCATTGTCTGCCAACCCTATATATGATCTTTGCAGTGTAGTAATTTACTTAGTATGGCTTTTCTACCCATAAGTCATTGTAAACTCAGTGGTGGAATGAGCAACTGAGGAGCTCCTGATTGTAAATGTTATCCACGTGGAGTATTTCTGTTGAGTCTATTCTATCTTAGAGTTGTCTTGATGTCCCTACCATTTAGAAGTTCTGTAACTGCACAGTTTTTTCCTTCTTTTTGGTTTGTTGTTGTTTTCATTTGTCAGTTGATGCCTCTGGTTCCCTGTTTACAATCTTGTAGGCTTATTTACTTTGGATACTTTCACAGCTGAGTTGGTTTCTGGGTTATGTCCTCATGTGTGTTAATGGTCAGTTGTTGTTTGCTGTTCTTGGTTCTCTGTCCAAAGGACTCCCTTTAGCATCTCTTGTAAGGTTGGTCTGGTTTTAACAAATTCCCTTAATTTTTGCTTATTTAGAAATGTCCTAATTTCACCATCATATTTGAGGGACAATTTTGCTGGGTACATAATTCTTGGTTGGAAATTTTTCTCTTTCATGGTTTTATACATACCATCCCATTGTCTTCTTGCCTGCATGGTTTCTGCTGAGAAATCTGAACTTATTCTTATTGGTTGCCCCTTGTAGATTTTTTCCTGTGCTTATTGGTTGCCCCTTGTCGTTTTTCCTGTGCTGCTCTCATGATACTTTCTTTGTCTTTGGTTTTGGTGATTTTGATGATGGTATGTTTTGGTGATTTTCTCTTGGGTTCTATCCTGTTTGGGGTTTGTTGGACTTCTTGAATGGATATATTCTGATCTTTCATCATTTCAGGAAAATTCTCTTCCAACAAATCTTCGATAATTATCTCTGTGCTTTTATTTTTCTCTTCCTGTTATGGAATTCCAATTGCAGGTAGGTTATTCCTTTTGATGGGATCCCACATGAACCTTAGGCTTTCTTCATTTTGTTTTGATCTTTTTTCTGATTGTTCCCCTTCCAAAGAAGTATTGAGATATTTGCCTTCAATCTCCCTAATTCTGTCTTCCATTGATTCAATTCTACTCCTTTGCCTGTTCAATGAATTATATACTTCTGAAAATTTAGTATTAATCTTCTGGATTTCTGTCTGTAGATTTTGTATCATTTCTAATTTTCCATTTATTTTGTCATTTTGCTCTGGTATTGTCTTTCAAAATTGTTCTAGGGTTTTCTCTGTGTTTTCCTCAATTTTGTGAGTGTTTTCCTCGATCTGTCTCTCAATTTGTTGAAGGTACCTAAATATAATTCTTTTGAATTCCTTATCAGGGAGTTCCAATGCTGCGTCTTCCTCAGGGATGTGTTTTGGGTCTGGTCCCTTGTTTCTCCTGCTTTATCTTGCTTCTTTGTGTGGACTGTGATGTTTTGTTTTTTTCAAGGCATTGTTTCGTTTTTGTGTTTGTATTTAATTGGTGATTGTATATTGGAGTGACTTGCCCACAATTTTCATTTTCTTTGTTTTGTTTGTATCTACATAAGCAGGATATTGTGTTGTGCTCCTCTAATCACTAGTTGGCAGCATTTATATACTCACCACCTGTCTCCTTTCCCATTGTCTGCTTCCCGTATGTACCTGCCAACCTTGGCAAATGGAGCCTATTTTTAGGTCCTGTTTTTGTTCAGGCTTTTCAACTAGTTGGTGCCTAATCCACTTCTGTATACTTCCTTTCAAAGCTCAGGGTTCCAGGATTATCTTATGTATCTCTGTCAATTGGTTTCTCTTTTCTTTGCTGAAGAGGGTCTGTGTCGCTTGTCTGCCTATTCCGCCATCTTACCGGAAGTCGCAAACTGCCAGTCCTTTCATTAGCAGCCCAGCACTTAATAACTGTGTCACCAGGGCTCCTTTTTATTTTTTTTTAAATCATATATGAGTAAAGTCTTTAGGTTTCATGCATTAATTGACTTAATAATAACGTTGTTGTTGTTAGGTGCCATTGAGTTGGATCTGACTCATAGCAATCCTAAGTATAAAAGAATGAAACACTGCCTGGTCCTTTGGCAATCGGACATTGCATTGCTATGTTTGAGCCTACTGTTGCAGCCACGGTGTCAATCCACCTCATTGAGGATCTTCTTCTTTTTCACTGACCCTCTACTTTATCAAGCATGATGTCCTTCTCCAGGGACCAGTCTCTCCTCATAATGTGTCCTAAGTACATGGGACAAAGTCTCACCATCCTCACATCCAAGGAGGGTTCTGGCTGTACTTTTTCCAAGACAGAATTCATTCATTAGGCAATCCATGGTATATTCGGTATTCTTAGCCAACACCATAAATCAGATGCATCAATTCTTATTTGGTCTCCCTTATTAATTTTTCAGCCTTCAAATGCATGTGAGACAGTTGAAAATATCATGTATTGGATCAGGTACAACTTAGTTTTCAAAGGGATGTCTTTGCTTTAAAGACTCTTTGTGCAGCATATTTGCCCAATGCAGTACATCATTTGATTTCTTAGCTGCTGCTCCCGTGGGCATTGTTTGTGGATCCAAGTGAAATGAAATCCTTGACAACATCAATCTTTTCTCCTTTTATCATGATGTTGCTTATTGGTCCAGTTGTGAGGATTTTTGTTTCCTTTATGTTGAGCTGTAATCCATACTGAAGGCTGTAGTCTTTGATCTTCGTCCATAAATGCTTCAAGTCATCTCCACTTTCAGCAAGCAAGGTTACATCATCTGCATATTGCACGTTGTTAATGAGTCTTCCTCCAATCCTGATGCCATGTTCTTATTCATATAGTCTAGCTCCTTGGATTATTACAGGAGCTGTGGTAGCGTGGTACCTAAGGCACTTGACTTCTAACCAGAATGCTGGTGGTTCAAACCCATCAGCCACTCCTCGGAAGGAAGATGGGGCAATCTACTTCCGTAGTGATACTGCCTCGGAAACCCAAGGAGGGGTCGCTATGAGTCAGGTCCGACTCGACGGCACAAAACAACAACAACAACAACAACAGCCTTGGATTATTCACTCATCAGACAGATTGAATAAGTGTTGAAAGGATATACACTGACACACACCCTTCCTGATTTTTAAATCATGTAGTATGTCCTTGTTCTGTTCAAATGGCTGCCTCTTGCTCTAGGTAGAGGTTGTGCATGAGCACAATTAAGTGTTCTCGAATTCCCATTCTTTGCAATGCTGTCCATAATTTGTTATGAGCCGCACAGTTGAATGCCTTTGAATATTCAATAAAACACAGGTAAACATCTTTCTGGTATCCTCTGCTTTCAGCCAAGATCCATCTGACCTCAGTAACGATATCCCTTGTTCCATGACCTCTTATGAATCCCGCTTGAACTTTTGGCAATTCCCTATCACTATATTACTGCGAGTATTTTGAATTATCTTAAGCAAAATTTTACTTTTGTGTGATATTAATGATATTGTTTGATAATTTCTGCATTATGTTGTGTTTCTTCGGAATATCTTTCTTTGGAATAGGCACAAATATGGATATTTCAAGTCAGTTGGCCAGAGGTAGCTGTCTTCCAAATTTCTTGGCATAGACCAATGAATGCTTCCAGTGTTGCATCCATTGCCTTTCAGTCAGTATTCTGTCAATTCACTGAGACTTTTCATCAATTCTTTCAGTGCAGCTTGGACTTCTTCCTTCAATACCATTGGTTCTTGATCGTATGCTACCTCCTCAAATGGTTGAATGTCAAGCAGTTCTTTTTTGTACAGTTACTCTGTATTCCTTCCGTCTTCTTTTGATGCTTGTTGCGTCATTCAATATTTTACCCATAGAATCCTTCAATATTGCAACTCAAGTCTTGAATTTTCTCTTCAGTTATTTCAAGTTGAGAAATGCTGAGCTCTTCCCTTTTGGTTTTCTAACTCTGGGTCTTTGCACATTTCAGTATAATACCTTTCTTGGTCTTCTTGAGCTGTCCTTTGAAATCCATTGAGCTTTTTTACTTCATCGTTTCTTCCTTCCGCTTTAGCTACTCTATGTTCTAGGTAAATTTTCAGGGTCTCTTCTGACATCCATTTTGATCTCTTCTTTCTGCCTTGGCTTGGATCCTAGGGCTTACAGTTTTCCATATTATGGAGTGTGTGTGTGAGGGGGGAGTGTATCAGCTCTGTTTGAATGGATTCTCAGTGCACGTTTGTAACACATAGTATTGGTGGAAGAAATACAATTTTAAATTTCTTATTCCTCTGAAACTGTTCTAAACTAAAGGTCCCTTATTTTTACACATTTGCTATTTCAGAAAGCAACAGGGATGTTTTATAAGTTCAGAGGAGACTGAATCTGAACACACTGGTGCTATGGTGGAGTTTGGTGAAGCCACCGTGCCGGTTCAGACAGAAGCAAACACAGGTACGTTTAATGGTCATACAAAGATAAGATTTGTGGCTGTGTATGTTTTTATCTACCAGTGTTAATTTGGAAAACTGTCTAGTCTCTTTTTTTTTTTTAAGTAAAAACAAAGTTAAAACATTTCTAAAAGACTTTTATGACTTACATATGCAAGACACTCTGATAGTCACTGTAGAGACATGGTGGTCTAGGTGAAGTCCCTGAAACACCACAGCATCACCTGGATACTTGTTTGGAAGGCAAATTCTCCAGCTTCCCTCTATACCTTCTGAATCAGAAATGATGGGATTAGGATGTAGACTTCTGTGTTTTGATGAGCCCTCCAGAAGATTCTGATGTGCATTCAAGTTAGAGCCCCTGCTGTAGAGGATACAGAGATGAATAAAACACATACACTGGCTTCAACAAAGAACCCTGGTGGCAGAGTGGTTAAGCACTCAGCTGCTAACCAGAAAGTTGGTGGTTTGAACCCACCAGC